CGGGGCCCGCCCTCTCCACACACCCCCTCCCGCCGTTGCAGGGGAAAGGGGACGCGCCGCCCAGGGGGCCGGGCTCCCGGGTCGCCGCCGCCAACCCGCAGGGCGGAGCGCTGCCCCACGGCCAGGCCGACTGGTGGGCGCTGGGCCTGAAGGAGGGAGCAGGACACGAGCTCTGAAATTCACTTTATTGCACGCGTTTTGGGGCGTGGGGACACCTGGGAAGGAAGCAGGGAGGACACGGCAGACCCTATAGCAGGCCCTATCCAAGTGAGCCCCTCAGGGGCTGGGGACTTAGGGAGGCCTGGGTGGTGGCTGCTGCTGCCTCTGCAGTCGCTCCTGCTGGAAACTGGCTCTGTTGGCCCTGGAGGAGAGAACACCTGAGTGGTCGGGACAGGCATCCTAGAGAGTGGTGTCAGGACAGGGAGCAGGGGGGCAGGATAAAGGACAGACCTGGCCCGTGCCCGTGTGTCGTTGTAGATGGCTGTGATGATCCGATCCTTTTCATCCATGAAGCTACGGTGCACCTGCTCCAACTTCCTGCAAGGGGGTTACAGTTAACCCTGGGACTCCACTCTTTGCTGTCCTTCAAGTCCTGTCCCCCACCGCCAACTCTAGGTTCTCACAGCTTCACATCTGTGGGGACTTCAGCCTAACTCCGCCTGTGACAGGTGGGGAGAGGGGCACAGAATGGCCTGGGCTTGTGCAGGGTCCAGTGGCACCTAAGTCCCTGGCTGTGCTGCTGAAGGTGGTGACAGCAGCTCTGAACAAAGGGGTGCTCCTCCCAGATGACAAGAAAGGTTGTGCATCTACCTCATCACTGAACTAGGCAGGCTGCTAGTAGTGGGCACTGACATTTAGGTATCTTTGCTGTAGAAAATGACTTGTCATGGCATGTGTGAGTGGCAGGGAGACAGGCGACTGCCAAATGAATGAATGAATGAGGACAGTTACTGGTGAGGCTCAGTTTCAGTGCATTTACTTTTTGTGCATGATTTTGGTTGCCTCCAGCAACCAAAGATTTACATTCAAATTACGAAAACTGAAAATATCAACATTAGCCCTTAGTGCAGCGTTGCCTTTACCAAATAAGGAGAGGCTCCAGAGACTGATTTCATGCAGTTCTTAGCTTTAGAGACACAAGAGTACAGGCCACAGAGTGCTGTGGATGGCTGGCTGACCATTCTTGGATTCACCCACTCTCCTGCCCTCTGCCCATCACCCAGGGAGGACAGGGATGCACCTGAAGGCGGCATAGTGCAGGCCCATGCCTGTCAGCATGAGCAGGATGCAGTACCCCAGCACCTGCTGGTTGTGTTTGTGCTGCTGCTGCCTCGATTCAGGCCCCTGTGGCCTCACACCGTGAAACTGGGCCCAGTATGTGAAGGCGGCATAGTGCAGGCCCATGCCTGTCAGCATGAGCAGGATGCAGTACCCCAGCACCCGCTGGTTGTGTTTGTGCTGCTGCTGCCTCGATTCAGGCCCCTGTGGCCTCACACCGTGAAACTGGGCCCAGTATGGTGCATTAGGGGGCGCCCAGGAGCTGCTGAGAGGCAGAGGAAGGAATAGTGTGGGGATGAGGGTCCCCAGAGACCTGGGAGTGTGGAAAGCTGGGGGCAAGACTACTGTACCTGTGTGTTTGACGAGCAGATTGGGGATGAGCTGTGGCACCTGAAGACTTCGGGGGACTCGCTGAGTGGAGCTGGTGGTCATAGCTACGGCGGCTCTGCTCACGGCTGAGCACACGGTATGCCTCACTCAGCTCCACAAAGCGGCTGTGCAGGGCTGGATTCCCAGGGTCCCGGTCGGGGTGCAGCTGGGATAGGGCAGGATTCCCCTTACCTCCCTTTCCATGTCCCTTCCCAGGACCCATCCTGATGATGTCCACCCACAAGGACTTGTAACACTCCCAGAGGCCCTGCCTGGGCAGTGGCCCTCACTCTCAGGCCTGCCCACCCCTCCAGAATGCCAGACGGTCAAGAAGCACATTCTTGCCTCTCCCCTGGTTCAAGCTCTCCCACCAGCCAGCCCCCTTCTCTTATCATATGTCCTGGTCCTGGTTTCTCAAGAGCAGGCAGGCAGGTCAAGAAAACCAAGCCCAGCCAATCAGACAGGACCCCTGGCTCCTGCCCCCAACCTTTCCTCCCACCTGGCCAGACCTCTGCCCCTTAAGCACCTCCCACTCCCTATGCAGGCTGAAGGAACGTGGCATGAGCCAGAGACACAGATCTACTCCTGGGAACTTGGAAAGCACCCTCATCTGACTCAGATTTCCTTTTCTCCCTCCCTATCTTAGGGGCACTGGTACCTCTTTGGACTTGGTGAAGAAAGCTCGTTTAACTTCATCAGTGCTGGCACCAGGATGCACCCCCAACAGTTCATAATAATTACTGGGAACCGACCTGTGGAGAGAGGCCCAAACCTTCAGGGGCTGAGGGAATTCAGAGGATACCCCTGTCCTTCCCCTCCAGTCTCCCTGGGTCAAACCCTGCAACTCAGCCACCAGGAGCTGAGGAGGCTGAGGCAGATCCCAAGACAGATCTGTGTCCAGATCACCCCTCCCTTTTGCAGTGTTTGAGGCATGGTGCCGGTCAGGATTTCTCAAATTGTAGTCCTCAAACCCCTTGTATCAGAAACACGTGAAAAGCTTGTTTTAAAAAACAGATTCCTGGGGCCGGCCTGTGGCTCGGGAGAGTGCGGTGCTGATAACACCAAGGCCACGGGTTCGGATCCCATATAGGGATGGCCGGTTTGCTCACTGGGTGAGCGTGGTGCTGACACCACCAAGTCAAGGGTTAAGATCCTCTTACCGGTCATCTTTAAAAACAAACAAACAAAAAAACAGATTCCTGAGCCCCACCTCATTCCTCCAGTTCAGAATCTCCAGAGCAGGGCCCAGGAATCTGCATTTCTGTGCCCTACCCCAGGGGTTATGCACAGTGATGCTTGACAACCACTAGAATTATAGAGAAAGCACTGGGTTTGACCTGGGCTTTTCTGATCTGGGGCTGGCTGGTTAGCTCACTTGGGAGAGCGTGGTGCTGGTAACACCACGGTCACGGGTTTGGATCACCGTACTGGCTAGCTGCCACAAAAAAATACCAAAATCCCTTATCTGCCCCTTAACTCACTCTATGCCCTTGGGGGCCATCACTTAATCTCTGATGTTCGGTGTCCTCCGCAGTGAAGGTGAGGGTTACCTGAGACAAGCCTGTAAGGCACCTGATACAGAGCAGAGACCACAACTATCTCAGCACATAGGGCAGCCCTCAACAGAAACCCACCGAACAACCGGGTCTGGGCTTCCGGCGCCCAACTCACCGCTGCCCGGCGGCCGCTCCGAGGAGCCGGGTGGGAGGGCTGCGGGGCCACAGCCGGCACAGGCGCAGGGGCAGCAGGGGCGGCATGGCGGCGAGCGGCAGCTGGGGAAAGGAGGCCACAAAGAAGAGGGCATTGGGACCGAGACGGGGCCAGCGTTCAAGCCCTGCGGGGGCAGAGGGAAGCGGCTGGCCCTCTTTTCTCGCGAAGGAAGACTGACGCAGGACCGGGGGGTCCTCCTGCTCAGGTCCAGATCCCCGTGCCTGGGCCCGCCCCCGCCTCCGACCTAGGCCTCCGGGGCCCTTCCCCGCACTGGCCTCGGTGTCTGGACAACCAGCCCGGGATGCCGAGACCCCCTCCCAACTCAGGGGACTTGGGGGGCGGGAGAAGGAGGGGCCACAGCCAAGCCCCGCCCCGCCTCTCGCGCAGACACTGCGGCCGCCGCCATTTCCTACGCCAATTTAGTCCCTCCCCCGCTCTCTCATTGGCTTAGACGCCAAGACCACGCCCACCACCGGGAAAATGCAGACAGGCGGTGAAGACCCCGCCCCCGCGCACCTATTGGCCTTTGACACCTCGGGGCCACCCACCGAAGCTGAGGCCTGCGGACCTGCTAGACGCCGCCCGCACCCGCCCGGGAGACGGGCGTGGCGGGTCCTGGCACTGACGCTTTCGGCTCAGCCGCCGTCCGTCCCTCCGTTCCGTGGACGTGGCTGTTGCTCCGCTCTGCAGCAAGGCACGTTTCACAGAGCTGCTTCCACCCTATAGTCACGCCGGAGCCCGGCAAAGAAGGCACGGCCCTATCCCCGGCTTGTAGAGGGGAAAACGGAGGCTGGGCTGGGGCTTTTCCCCCCCAAGTCACTTGTCCTGTCCCTCAGCCACCCAGGGCTCTCCCAATGGCCCCTTTCTGTCTCATGGAAACAGCAGATACCAACGGAATCCAAGAATAAAGTCCTTTATTGTCTTCAGAACTGTGGTGACAGGGCTGGGGACCCTAGGCAACTCAGGTGGGACTTCCCTGGACCCGGTTGTAGAGGAGGATGGCGCCTTTGGCCGAGGGGCAGAGCTCAGCCCACATTTCGGTCTCCTGCAATCTCCGTACGTTCTGTGGAGAAACAGAGACCCAGACATCCAGCCCTTACCACATCTCCTGTCGGGTCTGTGCCCAGAATTCCTGAGCCTCAGAGCTCTCTGCACTGCACTGTCCCTAGGGAGACACATTAAGAGAGCTAAATAGGTCTTTGGACCTTTCCCTTGGGCTGAGGGCAAGCCTTCTGACTACGGAGGAAACTCTGAGAGACCTGAGAGGGCCCTTCTGACCCAGCCACTCCCTCCCTGCAAAGCATGCATCACCAGACCACTTTGCAGGCCCCAACCCTGGCTTCCAAGCAAGATGCAGTTGACTGCCCTGCACCTGAGTCTCCACAAAGATGATTCCTGTAGATTCGTGGGCCTCGGGCCCCCCACTCAGGTAGTGCTTCTTCACCTGTTCAGAAGTCAGGCTGCACCTGGACAAGGACGTGAGGGTGGCTCATAGCTGGCCAGCTCCTGCAAGGTCCCTGTGGAGCCCAACTCATACCCTGCCCCTCACCACCCACCTCACCCAGGATCCAGGATCTTGTGCCCCTGAGCCCACTCACTGGACGTAGAACTCGGCACTGGCTCGGCCGGCACTGGTCTCATTGCAGGCGATCCCCAACAGCAGGGGCTGGCTCAGTGTGAACAGCGGCAGGTTCACCTGGGTCCAGAGGGTCCCACCTGTCAGGGCCCAAATCCCTGCTCCTCTCAATGGAGAAGAACCCGCAACCCTTGTACAGCATTTTACAGTTTGTAGATCAAGTGTCCAGCATCAAAGAATTTCAGATCTTGGGCATGTTAATTTTACAGATGGGAAAACCAAAACCAGAGAGACGGAACAAGTTGCCCAGGGTCACCCAGAGGAAGTTGATTTAGTAAGTGGGACTCCCATTTACCCATCTTTCAACCAACGTAGGAGTAGGCAAGACATTTATCTTTGTTTGCACTGGTAAGAGGTAGAACCTGAGACGCAGGGTAGTGGGGGTTAGAATTCCACTCCAAATACATCCAGCTGCAAAGCCAAGCTCTTCCCTCAATGCCAGCCAGATGCCTGCAGACCCTCCCACCAGCCCAGAATTCTGGCAAGTTCTGTCTCCTCCCTTCATACCCTACTCCCTTCATACTCAATACCCTGTCCGGGACACTACTCACTCACCTCATCACAGATCTCCTGAAGGATACTGGAGAAGACCTCACGTACCACCAGCTCCCCAGGGAGGTCTTTGTGCTGGGGGCTGTCACCAGGGCACAGGGCCTGTGAGAGGTCAGGCTCAGTCCTTGCTCCCTACCTGTTCCTGCCCTGTCTTCCCCTACACTTGCTGGCCCTGAGGGCCTGGTGTGGGCACAGCGTAAGAGTCTTGGTGATTCCCTAACCTAGGCCCTCCTTTTCCTGATGGACAACCAGAGGTCCATCTAGGAAGGAGTCACACTGGGGGCTGAAGGTGAGATAGGGTATCATTTTCTTCTGCCCAGTGTGGGCACAGCGTAAGAGTCTTGGTGATTCCCTAACCTAGGCCCTCCTTTTCCTGATGGAGAACCAGAGGTCCATCTAGGAAGGAGTCACACTGGGGGCTGAAGGTGAGATAGGGTATCATTTTCTTCTGCCCCCTCCTCCTCCCCATCTTTCAGCTCAGGGGCAGGAGCAGGGCTGTCCTAAGCAGCTTTCAGAGAAACACCAGACCAATTTTCCCTTTAAGGGTTGAGGACACCAAACCTGGGAGGACTTAGAGATCCAGCTTCCATGAGCTGGCTGGGTCTTTATGCCCAGCCTGGCATCTCACCTGAGGCTCAGGGTGCCCACCAGGAACATCTATCAGCCCAGGGGCCTCAGCCACCTGCCAAGAGCGGCGCAGGAAGACAAGGAAGTCATCAGCGGTGGCTAGTGCAGCACCCACACCCAGTGGGTCTGCCAGATAGGCTTGCTTGTCACCCCAGTCAATGGCCCCTTGCTGTCGCAGCCAGGCAGCTGAGCTGGCCCAGTTGGTGCCCAGGAAGTCTTGGTAGGAAGTAAGGCCCAGGCGCAGAAGCAGCTGTGGCACCGGCGAGTCAATGGGTGCCAGGGTGGCTGAATGCAGGCGGAATTTGGGGGCGTTGAAGAGCCAGGGTTGGGCCTCTAGCCGGGTTTCCCAGACAGCAGTGATGGCCTTGTCCCCGCCTGGCAGTGGGCGACGATCGTGGGCTGGGCTCAACTCAGCCCGTACCTGCTCCAGGGGCAGCCCCCCAGGAGGGCACTGCAGCAGCAGGGACACCTCAGGGTCCATGGTCTTGGACAGGGCAGCTCTGGAGGAAGACACAGACAGGTCTGTCACCCCGGGGGGCCCACCACCACCTCTGGGCCCAGCAGCTGGCCCCCTCTGTCACAAAGCTCCTGAAGGATCCCCCAGCCCTTCTGCACCCCCTGACCATTCCTTGGGCGGTAAAGTGTCCTATCATCGCCAATAGCCCTGAGCCCGGCCGGGTACTGGGGTCTCCCGGGCATCCTGACCATCCAGAAGTCCTGGGTTCAGTCACCCCCAAATGCCCATGTCCTCCCAACCCAGGGGTCCTGCCTCCAAGCCGGGATGCGCCGGGACCCAGAGTACGGAAGCTCTGGAGGAAGACACAGACAGGTCTGTCACCCCGGGGGGCCCACCACCACCTCTGGGCCCAGCAGCTGGCCCCCTCTGTCACAAAGCTCCTGAAGGATCCCCCAGCCCTTCTGCACCCCCTGACCATTCCTTGGGCGGTAAAGTGTCCTATCATCGCCAATAGCCCTGAGCCCGGCCGGGTACTGGGGTCTCCCGGGCATCCTGACCATCCAGAAGTCCTGGGTTCAGTCACCCCCAAATGCCCATGTCCTCCCAACCCAGGGGTCCTGCCTCCAAGCCGGGATGCGCCGGGACCCAGGGTACGGAAGCTCCAGCCTCCAGCGGGGGAACTCACCGGCCGGCAGGGCCCGCGTGCTCCGCCCCTCTCCCCGAAGCGGAAGTGCCCGCCCCTTCTTCCGCAGCTTCTCATTGGCCGGTCCGGGCGCGGTCGGTGACCTGTCTCTGTCCTGGCCTGCCCTGACGCTTCCGCCCTGTCTGCCTGAAAGGCACACCCGCGATCTTGGAGCGCGGGGGACTCGGCTTCCCTGGGCTCCGTCGCTGACAGTGTGACCTTGGGCAAGTCGCCTGCTGCGCCTTAGTTTCCCTGTCCGCACCAGGGATTTGGGGGTGGGAAGCGAATTCAATGAGCTGTGTATCCCTCTTTCAGTTCTTATAGGCTTTGTGACTTTCTGAGCAGGGTGGGACATAGGGGGGTTCTTAAAGTCACTGATCCCCGCAGGTCTTGGCCATGAACTCCTCTGGAGGAAGGAGGCAGGAAGCAGCAGGGCCCAGGGGTAGAAGCGCTCACAGACCCCGGGAACAGGTGCGTTCCTCCCCACCTCCACCCCATGGTGGGAGGACAGGGGAGGGGGACTCGATTCTGAAACCTGGCTCCCTGGAAAATGCTGGTGGAGTTGGGGTGGAGGGCTGATGGGTCATACTATTCCTGGAGACCACAGGGACTCCTCTCCCTCTGGTCTCGCTTTGCCGCAGAGTCACTCAGGATTCAGGGTGGGCAGCAGGGCAGGATCACCATAGAAACCAGGGGCCACAACTGGGCTCTTTCAGGACCGAGATGTGCAGCTGTCGAAGGCCCTATCCTACGTGCTACGCCATGGGGCTTTGAAGCTGGGGCTTCCCATGGGGGCAGGTAAGTGAGGGTCTTGGAGGCTGGGGTGAGGAGTGGCTCCAGCCCAGGGTACAATGTGACCCTGTCTGTGACCCCTCTCCCATGGTTCCCATCTCCGTCTTATGAGGAAGGCACAGAGGGCACTTTGTCCCCCTGGACAGAGAAGACTGAGCCCAGAGCCCCATATCATGACCATGGAAAACTGGGAGAGGAGACCCTGCCTGGGGCAGGCCTGGTGATGCCCCCTCCAGCCAAGTGGTCCAGAAAACACTTACCCTGAGTGTGGGCACTTGGTATTGGGGCAACTGACATTTATTGAGTGTCCACTCTGGACCAGGTACTATGCTAAGCACTGTTCTTCTGACACTCCATGAGACAGATCTTC